TGATCATTTAGCACAGAGGGCCACCTGCAGGATTTTACCTTTGGCTGAATCGTTAAAAATATTCAGAATTCTGGTTCTCTCCATCCAAGGTGTGTCTGTGCAGCTCTGGCTGTGGCTGTTCATGACCAGCTGAAGTGCTGGTGTGTGGATGTTCCCAACAGCCTTGCTGTGTGAGGCTCTTGAGACATCACTGGGAGAAGCCTGAGGTCACAGAATCAGGGAATATCCTGGCTTGGGAGGGACCCCCAGGGATCATCCAGTCCAACCCCTGGCCCTGCACAGACACCCCAACAATCCCCCCCTGTCCCTCAGAGCGTTGTCCAAACCCTCCCTGAGCTCTGGCAGCCTTGGGGCCGTGCCCACTGCCCTGGGGAGCCTGTTCAGTGCCAACCACCCTCTGGGGGAGGAACCTTTCCCTGAGATCCCACCTGAGCCTCCCTGGCACAGCTCTCAGGTATTCAAACTCCTCCTGTCCTTTGGTGGAATATTTCCCTTTGAAGTCAACACCAACGTTTTTCCTTTCCAGGTGAGTTTCTTGCCCAGAGAAGATGCAGATGTGTAAAATTGGTGCTTTCAGGGACCTTTAGTTGTTGGCCAACGTAAAATTGCTCATGTGAGCCAAGAGCAGACCTTGGCATCCAACCTGGCCTTGGACACTTCCAGGGATCCAGGGGCAGCCACAGATCCTCTGGGCAGCCTGTGCCAGGGCCTCCCTACCCTCACAGCCAAGAATTCCTTCCCAATCTCCCATCTGTCCCTGCCCTCTGGCAGTGGGAAACCATTCCCTGTGTCCTGTCCCTCCATGCCTTGTCCCCAGTCCCTCTCCAGCTCTCCTGGAGCCTCTTCAGGCTCTGGAAGGGGCTCTGAGCTCTCCCTGGATCCTTCCCTTCTCCAGGTGAGCCCCCCCAGCTGTCCCAGCCTGGCTCCAGAGCAGAGGGGCTCCAGCCCTGGCAGCATCTCCGGGGCCTCCTCTGGACTGTCTCCAGCAGCTCCACATCCTTGTGCTGCTGTTCCCCAGGGCTGGGGGCAGCTCTGCAGGGGGGGCTCAGCTGAGGGGGCAGAGGGGCAGGATCCCCTCCCTTTTGTGTGCCCCACAGGATGATGCCTGTAAGGAGACACCGGTACTGCTCTCAGTGAGCTGAGTGTGACAGAGGAAGGAGCAACAGCACCTTGTGTTTGTTCCCAGGAGCCCAGAACTTTGATGTCATCAGGCTCTCCACGTACCGCACGGCCTGCAAGCTGCGCTTCGTGCAGAAACGCTGTAACCGTAAGTCGTGGGCACCCCTTTGTCTGCAGGCAGAGCCCGTGCATGTTTCACACCCCCACCCCTGACAGTTCTGAGTGTGGTGAGAGTAAACATTTTGTCAGGCAGTGGCAGTTGTTACTCAAACGAAGCGGAGATTAAATGTGTAGTTAAAAAGAGGCGGCGATCTTCGTCCGATGCTCCATAATCTCTTCAGGTTAATCCTTTAACGTCCAGGAAATTTAAAATACAGGGGCCAGCATGATGTGTCTCATTGCCCTCGTTGCTGGGTGCAGCCTAAGCTGTTTGAGGGGCTGTCCCGTGCTGAGGTAGCACAGAGCAGCTGCCGGCGGGCACAGGGACGGTCCCTGTGGGAAGGTGTCCGGGTGGCACTTGTGACGTGGAGCAACCATAAGGAACTCTGCAAGTTCATACCCACAGTGTCAGTGTAAGTTTTCTCCTTCCCTCCCGTGGCCCTCTGAGCTTGGGTAGCTCCCCAAAGCAGAGGTGAATCCCAGGTGAGTGGGTGGGACGCTTTGCGTTCTGCCTGAGCTGGACCCAGCTCAACGCTGGACGAGTCAATGTGTGCAGGAGCAGATCCCACCTGCCAGGGCAGGGGAATTGCTGTGCCTGGCCTGGTGGAGGCCAGGAGAAGAGCTGAGGTGTCCTGGGGAGCACAGTGTCCCTGCACAGTGCCCCTGTGTCGGGGGGCTGTGGTGACCATTCGCCGGGTGGATGGCTCAGAGGTTTCCCAGTCCTGGGCAGAAGTGTTGGTCCCTGGCTGTTGGCTCATGGCTCAGGATTAAAAACCTCTCTAGCAGCAGAGAGGGGTTAGGAAGTGCTGACTGTAGTGGGCCCAGTTCACTGATGCCCTGGCCGTGCCCTGAGCAGCCTTTGCCATCCCCAGATCTGAGGATGGGGCTGTGCAGTTGTGAGCTGTGTCTGGGCCCCAGGCTGATCCAGGGTGGGGGTCACAGCTTGGCTTCTGTCCCTGCTGTGGGTTTTACGTGAGAAATACAAAGACAAGTTGAATGTAAGAAATGTTCAAGCTCACCCTGAGTTCAAGCCCTTTTTTTGGGGGAGATCCCAGGAGTGGTGAGCACACAGGTCTGTCCTCTGCAGCTGCTGGATCATGTTCAGTTTGGATTGCTGTTGATCCTTAGATGTCTTCTCTACTCTCATGCATAGCTCAGAGCTTTGAAACGTTTCAAAGTACTATTCAAAGTGGGTCTGCAGATTTTCCCAAACTGTGGTTTGGGAAATGTTTCCTCCCTGCTGTTAACGCTCCTTAGATATGTGTTTATATATGGCAGGGTAATTTGGAAAAATGCTTTGGAGTTCTAGACCTGTGTTACGCTCAGGATTTGGCAGCTGGATCAACTGGAAACAGTCACAGTTCAACTGGAACATCAAGTTCCTCCTTCAAGACTCTGCTAGTCAGCATGAGGGTGTTCAAAATTACTGTAAACAGTCTGTAGTGAATTTAGAGTATCGTGGAATCATGGAATGTTTGGGGTTTGGCAGGACCTTAAAGCTCATCCAGCCCCACCCCTGCCATGGGCAGGGACACCTCCCACCAGCCCAGGGTGCTCCAAGCCCCGTCCAACCTGGCCTGGGACATTCCCAGGGATCCAGGGGCAGCCACAGCTTCTCTGCCCAACCTGTGCCAGGGCCTGCCCACCCTCCCAGGGAGGGCTTGTGGCTGATGTCTCTAACTCTGCTAGAACACACTGCATGCTGGGGGGATGGCTTTGCTCCTCTGGGAATTGTTGCTGAAGAGCATCCAGATGTTGAAGGGTGGAGCAAAAGGCACGTGAGGTGTCCGGGCACTGCTCTGTTCCCTCGCAGAGCTGTGAGTGTGAGCTCAGGAGTCTGTCTGTCGCTTTGAACACGAGTAACTTCTCATCCTAAAGAAAAGCTAACCCAGTTTTCACAAGCAGTGCCATCAGGGTGACCTTGCATGCCTCACAGA